TTTCAAATAAATGCTGTTCTTTTGAATTTTGTAAAAAAAAAAAAAAAATTTATCATGGTTTCCACAAAAACATGAAGCAGCACAAATGTTTTCAACATTGATAATAGAAATGTTTCTAAATCAGAATATTAGAATGATTTCTGAAGGATCATGTGACACTGAAGACTGGAGTAATGATGCTAAAAATTCAGCTTTGCATCACAAGAATAAATTACATTTGAAAATATATTCAAATAGAAATTGTAATTTTTTCCACAATGTTTACTGTATTTTTGATCAAATAAATGCAGCCTTGGTGAGCATAAGATAATTCTTCCAAAAATAATAAAAAATCTTACTGACCCCAAACTTTTTGAACAGTAATATATTTGAAATTAGTTTATATCTGAAATATTTGGATACATTCAGTGCAGTTTACAGATTATAATCCAAAGGAGGAAGCATTCAGGTTGAGTACTACAGTAGTGTTATGATAGATGTGCAAATAGTAGTTGTTTTTATTTGAATGTTTTAAGCTAAATGTTCGCATTTACACACAGGCCCCAGCCAGGATCGTGACCCCTGGTTTACAAGACCAGTGCTCTAACCACTGAGCTATGGAGCCAGCTAATACTCACTGCTCCTTTGGTTTCAATTTCAATTACAATGCTTCTCTAGACGTTTATGCAAATCACCAGCAATTTGCAAGATGCTTAAAGGCATAGTTCACCCAGAAATGAAAATTTGCTGAACGTTTACTCACCCTCAGGGCAGGCCATCCAAGATGCAGATGAGTTTGTTTATCATCAGAACAGATTTGGAGAAATGTAGCATTATATCACTTGCTCACCAATGGATCCTCTGCAGTGAATGGGTGCCGTCAGAATGAGAGTCCAAACAGCTGATAAAAACATCACCGTAATCCACACCACTCCAGTCCATCAGTGAACGCCTTAAAAGCTGCATGTTTGTAAAAAACAAATCCAACATTAAGTTGTTTTTTATATTCAGACCTTTGCTTCCATCTAAAATATCCTCTATCCGTAATATTGCTTTCTTCGTTGAAAAAGTCGTCTCGTCTGAATCAGGAGAGAAACAGGCAAAGATCAAGCACCGTTTACAAGCGAAAACAGTCTAAGAAAAAGTGGGTGGATTTTGGACAACGGGGGATGGAAGTTTTTACTGGAGGAAGCGTTATTATGGATTATGGAGTTGTGTGGATTATTTGTAGATTATTGTGATGTTTTTATCAGCTGTTTGTACTCTCATTCTGACGGCACCCATTCACTGCAGAGGATCAGGATTGCTGAGCAAGTGATGTAATGCTACATTTCTCCAAATCTGTTCTGAGGAAGAAACAAACTCATGCATCCTGGATGCCCTGAGGGTTTCAGCAAATTATAATTTTTGGTTAATCTAGTCCTTTAACCAACTCTTTTAAGTGTTTGAATGAGAAATTAATACCTTTATATAGTACAAAATATGGGCTGTAATTTGGGATGCAAATGGTCAGAGGTATTCAGAATTCAGAAGGTTTCCAAAAAGCCTGGATTTTATCTCAAAATCTGAGATGAATAACAATTTATTCATATGTTGTATTGATTTGCAGAAGGAAGCATTGGCTGGACTCTGTATTTTATATTTTAGTGTAAATACAAACAGCCGCATTGTGCATTAAAAAGCTGTGACCTTCATGCATTATTTGCACAAGATATCATCATATTTAATCACACAGTTTATTCTACTGAGCAGGTAGTATAATTATTACTCTGTAATTGCATCATGACAGCGTAAACACAGTCACTACATGGTGTCAGAAGCGTGCTAATTGGCCTAGAAGAAGTGAGTGCTGAATTCCAG